ATTTACTTGATCATTAATACTCGCACTCTTGAAATAATTTATGCACGTATAGGTTCGACTAAATTGTTCATGACACCCGTTCTTGTGCTAAGGATGCAGCTTTCAGCTGCTAGCAAGACAACACTTGCACTTCAAGTTATAATAGAAGCTCAAAAGCTTGGAGGTACTTGTTGACCATTCTTATCTTCATTTTTGCTAAATCCTTTTCATGTAGATAATTAAACTATTAATTCTCTTATTTATTTTCCTGTTTATGTTGCAACTGTGTTGCTGTGCATACTGCATTTTTTTCATTATTTAATGAACTTCTATTTGATCTGTAGCGAGGATATTGAATCATGGAGTTATGTTCGAGTATTTGTGTTTCTGTGCCTGAGATATCAGTGCAGCTTTCTTCCATCTAGCTTGCATTTGTAGCTTAATTTATTAGAGTTACACTCTAGACACTTTTTTTTATAGTAGTAAAGTATTAGAACTTTAAAGTATTAGAGATGTACATTAACTTTAGCATTGAAAATATTGAAGTTAACTTTTATGATGATATTTTTTACGCAAACAATTGCTACTGATAGGGTGAGGATCAGTAAATATAATTACTAAATTTATTGTGGTAGATTCATCATACATTGATTCAAAAGCTTTGCATCTTTCAATGACCATAGCTATAAATACATATGCCTATTCTTGTATTTCCATCCAATTAGTTTATATTGTATTTTATTATTTTAGTTTTGATTTTGATTTCGGTTAGCCATTATGCAATGAGTTATCAATTTGGCTTTGAAATGTAAATCTCTTTCATTCTTTGTATATGTGATCTGTATTATTGGCCTTGCAAATTTCAGTTCATAGGTTGAGGCTTTGAGAAAGCAACTTATTTAAGATATTCTTTGCTGAGACAATTATTCGTGTTCTCTAGATACAATTATTGCATGGAGACATCCTGAGTATCACGCTTAGTTGCAGCTCTTACGTATAATTATAGATAAAGATCACTTGATGTTAATTATTGTACTTATTTCTCTTTTTGGCTTATGCGATCTGAACGTTTTGCATATTTTTTTTTCGTAGGTTGGTGTAATGGTAGAAGGCAATTGTTTTCCTTTTAAATAATTTTTTTTCTTATAGTGTAATGTTTAGAAGATTATATTAAAAATCTTTGTACTAATTTTGATGTTAGAGTAGTTGATTGAGATTATGGCTACCAAACCCACAAAAACATTGTATATTTTTAAATTCAAATGAAAGTATATTTTTCTTGTTATAATCAATTTTTCACTTTAGAATATTATATTTAAATTTATGAAGTATGTAACATTATATAAAAAATGAGTTCCTTTTTTTAAATAAAAAATGAGGCTACAAGAGCATTTTCTTTAAATAGCGCTCCCATATGGTGACATTATTGTAGCACTTTTGCTTAGAAGTGCTCTTGTAAGGAGAACTACAAGAGTGCTTGTAAGCAAAAGCATTCTTGTAGAGGGGCTTATAGGAGCGCTTTTAAAGGAAGTGCTCCTATAAGGGGCAGCACTTTTAAACCACTCCCATAAATAGAAAAATAAGTATTTTGAAAAGTGTTTTTTTGTTGTAACGTGGGTTAGAATAATTACTTTTTAGTCAAGTAATTAGAATAGAGCATTTGGAGTAAAAACTTGGAGTCACCCCATGGGGAGCCAGATTCATGAGGGAGAAGGGAAGGGAGGGGGAAGACATTGCCTTGACAATATTGTTCTTCTTCATTTTCATTCTGGTGGGGTGGTTGTTCAAGTTGAAGAGGCAAGCCATCTCCTTATTTCTAGTTCTTCGTCCTTGTTCTTTTTTTTTTTTTTATGTTGTTGTTAGACTACTCGATCATCATTCTTCTTCTTCCTCATTCTTTTTCGTTTTGGTTTTGCTTAATGTAAGTATATATGCTTAATCATCTTCGTTCTTCATCATCTATAAGTCACATTTCGACCCTATATTGTTTTCCTCGAAGATTTCAATTACATTAACATTGAGTCAAAACTGATTGATGTTTATTGCCAAAAAAAGTTTTTGTAGCGGTTTTTATGTCACTTTTGTAATGAGTTGAACTGCTACGTGCATTTTTGGTAGTGATTTTAAAACCCACTACAATCATTACCATAGCGGGCCATATAGTAGTGATTTTTAGAACTGCTATCGCAAAAGTTAAAGCGCTAAAAGCTGTGTAACAGTTATAGAATCGCAAACACTTGAAATTTGAAAAATTATTTTGAAATATTTTTTGTCAGAGGGATGTAGTGGTTTCAAGACCACTATGACATTTGAAAATTTGACTTTTCACATCTACGTTCGCATTGTCCCAAAATTCATGAAGAGATTCACATTTATAGAGTTCGAGAAGAGATTTGTGTTCCAAGGGTTGGCGTGAAAAACTTGATCACATAATTGACCAATGTCCTTCATGAGCCTATTATATTGCAACGGGGATTGCATAAAGGACTAGATAAGATCGGATTTTAGATTTGATCTTTTTCTTGAAAAGGATTAAATTAGGTAACTTATAGTTTAGTTTGGTCTAATTATAACCTTAAGATTAATAGGACCAAACTTGATCCATAAAACTAAGAGACTAGTCCTCATAATTCAATACCCACTTAGCTTTTTTCTCCCTTCTATAAGGCAACAACTCATTTCAACTTGATAAACTTTATTAAGATAATAAAAATATAAACAGGCCAAACATTTAAAGTATAAGGGCCAAATAGAAGGATGGGAATTATAAGACCTTAATTAAATTATAAGCACCTACAAGATATTTTTCCTATTATTTAACTCACCTTTTCCTTTTGTAGCTTTATAAAATTATTAATCATTTATGATTCAAGAAAACATGAATGATTAAATTATTGTTGATCACTTAAATATATAATTTTGGGTTAAGTGAAAAAAGTCAGGATCATCTTTAAAGTTAAGAAAGGGTTCTTTTCTTATTTTGACTGGGGGTGCTTCTTTTTTGCAAAGGGGTACTAAAGTAAGTTCATATGAAATTTAATCTTAAAAAAGTCTTTCAAGACCTTATTGTAGTTATCAAATTTCGTGAGATGAAATTGTCATTTTCTTATTTTAGAATGATTTATTCATCACTATCACTTCTTCTTGTTGTTGTTGTTGTTGATTCTAGGGTTAAATATCAACTTGAACCCTAAACTATAGGTCCAGGAGTGATTTGAATCCTATACTTTAAAAAAATGTATTTTGAATCCTAAACAATTAAAGTTGAGGCAATTTGACCCCTTGTCATTAACTTTCAATAAATATCCATCAAATTCATTTGGAAAAAATTACACTTTAAAACCTAATTTGACAGAAGTTTGTTGAAAGTTAATAATAGCGGTCAAATTGCCCCAACTTTAATTGTTTAGATTTAGAATATACTTTTTTAAAAATTTAGGGTTCAAATCGCGCTTGAACATATAATTTAAGGTCAAAATTGTATATTTCAACAGTAATTGAAAAAAGTGTATCTTGCATATTATATTAATTTTTAAAAATATTTTGAAAGAGTGTGTAAGTTTCTTGGTTTGAATTGATCGCTGGAGGTGAAAATTTATAAAACAAAACTAAATACCTCTATGATAAATAAAGAAGCTGAAAAAAGTGTATGAAGAGGAATCTATTTTAAATTTTTCCCTAACAAAGAATGACAATGTGTTTTTCACCAATGTTATTATGAGATTTCATTATGCCAAAGAACAAATAGGAAAAAAAATATGAAAGTGCGCTTATAGTAAAAGATTATATTACGTTTCTAGTACTGTCATTGATTGTTTATCAAAACCCCACCCAATAAAAACAAAAATAGTTAACTCGACAGTGTCTCATTCACACCCACCATAATTTTCACCAAAAACTTCTTTACTCATTATTACAATTTACAACTTTTATATAGTTTCATCATCATTATTATTTACCTTTTTTTAATTCCTTCTTCTCAGATCCTGGAAAATTTGTAATATTATCAAGCTTAATAAGCAATTTAGACCCTGAACTATAGGTGTAGGGGTGATTTGAACGTTAAATAATTAAAATTGGAGCAATTTTGCACATACTATTAGCTTTCAACAAACATATGTCAAGTTGGGGTTTATAGTGTAATTTTTTTAAAATGAATTTTATAGATGTTTGTTGAAAGGTAATGATTGGGGTGAAATTATCCCAATTTTAATTGTTTAAAATTTAAAATGTACCTTTTTAAAATTTAAATTTAAATTACTTCTGAACATGTAGTTCAGAGTTCAAATTGATATTTAACCCTTAATTCTAACATTCCCATTTTCATCCATTTTATTTGTTTTGTCGTAATCATGACAATCCTATTTCACAATTGCTTTTGTTATTTGTCATATTTGATCATGGATAATTTTTTTTAAAAAAAATATGTTTATAGATTTTTATAATTTTTCTCAATTTTAAATTAGGTTCATACATTTTATTTTACTTTAATAAAACTCTTAAAATTTGATCTATTATATACGTTCATCTTTGAATGTTAAAATTAATAATGAACTATTAGATTTTACAAAGTAAAAAAATTATTGGAATTTATAAAAAATTTAATTTAATACTTTTAATTAAAATTAAAAAAAATTAATTTAATGTGCTGTTCGAGAAAATTCTATATGTAAAAAAAATTAAAAAACATTTTAATTATAAATTTTTAAATTATAAAAATTATATAATTAATTCTAAAATCATATAATCATTTAATAAAAATATAAAAGATTTTCATTTCGTTTTTAAAAAAATTTGATGATTTTTACTTTAAAAAATTTAATTAATCAAATTAGAAGAACTTAATTAAAATAAAATAAATTATAATAATTTAATTTAAAATTAAGTAAAATTATAAGGATATTTTTTTAATTTTTTTATATTTCTAATTTTAATATATATATATATATTTTAAATTTAAATTTGATTTAAATTCTATTAATTTATGGTGATTTTTCTAGGGTTTATGTAAAATCATGTCATACAAACGTTAGCACCATTGCGCTGCCTCCAATTCTCGCCCTAGTTCCGAGGAGTCTCCATGGGGAAGAAGAAGAAATTCATCGACAAGAAAAAGTCAGCCACTTTCCAATTACTCGCACGCGATTCTTCTGATCCCAACTATGACGGAACTCCTGGCAGCGACCGTATATTTGTTCGTGTCGACAATAACTCTGTCTCTGCTGCCAGCATTGTTGGCGCTGAAGAACCTTACGGTGGCGGTGGTGATGATCCCAATTCCATATTCGCTGACGCACCTGAGGACTATGAAGGTGACGAGAATGATGTCAAGGTATTGGGGAAATCCATGCTTGGGTGGAGTGAGAATTCGAGTACCGCTGCTGAGACATTGCCGGAGCAAGTGCGGAGGGAGATTTTGGAGTTAGGTTTTCCAGATGATGGGTATAATTACTTGCTTCATCTGAGAGAGATTCAGAATACTGGCGGTGGCTCTGCATTCTATCACAACCCCAAGTTTAGAGCTGATCTTGTTCCTCATGATGTAAAGGTCAGTTGTTTTTCTGTTAATTTTACTGTCTTTACGCCTTTGATTTGAAATACGACGAACCAGTGGTGTCAAAATTGAGAAATATGGAATGGCACGCATAGCGATTTAATGGTAGTGCATGTGCCTTGTGTTCATGTAAGCATCAATGCTTCATAAGATTTTGTTGTACTCATCGGATAGCAATTTCCTTCTACTTCCGTCAAGCGAAGTTTTTTTTTTTTTTTTTTTTTGGGTGGGGGGGTTCCTGGGTTTTGATTCGTGAGAAGTTGGATGCCATTGATGTGGATTCCCCTCAATTTAAGATTAGTTTCTTCTTGACCACATTGAGTATGAGTGGATTGTATTGAATTTTTTATTTTCATCGTTCTATAATGTGCCAGAAAATGTTTGATTGTTTTCTCTTTTCATGTGTCTAGGCCTATGACGCATCACGATTACAAATATCCAAGGTGAATGAAGTGTGCAATGATAAGTCCCTCTACGGTGTTGCATCCAGGACTACAAGTGTGAGGATTCAGAAAGGCGTAGATCCTGAAGTGGCTGCATTGCTTGATGATAGTGATTTGTCACGGTTTGGCTCTGATGTTGAAGACCTGGAGGAAGACTTTGTTGTTCAGGCAAACCTTCCGGCAGAAGAAGAAGAAGACAAGTCCGACATATGCAACAAAATGAATTCTGCACATGAATGTGCTATAGATAAAAACAATTTGGAAATATTGCATGCTTCTGCTAGTTCCAAGGTTTCAAATGATCTTGAGCCCCTGGATGGAGTTACAGAAGGTGTCGTTGAAGTAGGTTGTGCCAATGAAAAGCCAAGAGTTCGGCGACTCTTGGATGAACAGTTTGATTTAGTGAGTTCTGCTTTTCTCGATTGACTTTGCACTTTTTCTCTCTCGCTCTATAACAGTTTGGCTTAGTGAGTTCTGCTTTTCTGGACGACTTAGCAATTGCTCTGTCATAAAGGACTGTATAAACTGAATTTCATTAATTCCCATGTTAAAGATAGTGCTTTCCACTTTGCTACATTTTCATGTTGCTAGGACAAATTGACCTCTATTAACTGCTTTTGTGCATTTTTACTTCAAGATCCCCATTCTTATTCTTATTATTATTATAATATCATATATGCTGTAGCTTGAACGTCAAGAGTATGGAACTGATGATGATAGTGATGATGATGATGAATATGATTATGATTGCTATCAAGCTGAAGATGAATCTCTTGCTGATAAGCTCAGACATTCTCTTAATGGCCATGTGGTGGATGACCTAGAGCTTAATGATGACAACTATAAGGCCCCTGCAGATTTAATGAAGGATAAAGAGGCTTTGAAAAGTGAAGAGCAAGATGACTCTGCTGCTGATGTAATTCGCCTCTGCAAGGAATATGCTCAGAGGTATGAAAATGAAGATGAAGAAGACAAGGATGTTATTTTGGAGGAAAGTAGTGATGAATCAGAAGTTTGGGATTGTGAGACAATTATTTCTACATACTCAAATTTAGATAATCACCCTGGAAAAATTGACGCACCTGAAGTAACAAGGAAGAAGAAATTGGCTCAAGCTGTTTCTGCAGCCATGGGTTCCTCTAGTCTTAAAATATCCCTTAAAGGAAAAGAAAAAATCCCTGTGGATTTCTTGCCTGGTGGTAGAACACCCGCTGCAGAAAAGGTGAAAAGCTTGAACAGTATAAAAACTGAACAGTACAAGAGAAAAGAGCATGGGCAAGAATCAAAGGAGGAGAAGAAAGAACGGAAGGTATATGTGGATGTTATTTTGATTTACTTTGCATACGTGCTGTCTGTAAACAGTCCAATTTATCTATCATATAGTCGTTGTAAAATATCAACTGATGAAAAGAGTGGTCATTTTAATGTGTGGGCTAATGAGAATTTACTTTTTTTAATGACAAGTAATTGTCTGAAGTTGCTACCCAAAGAATTGTATCCATGTTTATGTATTTTGGTCTTACTACATCTCCTGCTGCTCTGACAAAATGGGTATTTGTACTGCTATTAGGCTGCTGTGAAGGAGGAAAGGCGAGAGGCACGCCGCCTGAAAAAAGAAATGAAAGGGCTGTACAAGTGTGAAACACATCGAGGACAAAGAGTTGCTGCTGTATCGGGTCCTTCTACTATTCATCTTTTGTAAGTTTGCAAAATTTAGTACTCTAGTTTGCTCTCTCTACCATGAACTGGTCCTTCTACCATTCATCTTATAATGTTCTCAAATTGTGTAAACCTTAATTAGCACTTGCTCTGTCATGAAGTATTGTGGCTGTTACCTATAATGGAGGTAAGAGTTCTATAAGGGTAGAAATTAGAAAGTAGATTGACATGAAGATGTAAGAGCTATTATTTCCATGTGGAGGAGGATGTAAAGAACACTGACCCTATTGTGCTTGGAGGATCTACTACCATGTCACTAAAAAGAATTTATTTATTGGTAGATGGTATAATTCTCATTGGTGAATTTTATGCTTTTAAGACATTAGGCTTCAACCTGAAAAGAACTTAGAGGTTCAAATTGAGAGCCTTGCTATGAAAAGAAATATGTTTTTAATGAGAGGGCCTGTTATCTGCAGAAGAAGATACTGAAAGACACTTTTCTTGTTTGTGTATAAACTATAAAACTTTCAACATTCTGCTAACTTGAATTGCATTAATATTGAGACATCTGCCACTTATCAACCCCCTTCCTCTCCCTTGTTGGAGTCATTCTTGCATAAAAATGATATCAAAGGAGAAAATGGTAAACTTTTCTGGGCTTCTGAGGTTAAAACTCGCACTACTGCATGAATATGATTTCACATTAACCTCCTAGACATACAAGTTAGAGTGCCAAACGATGACATTAAGCATTTGACTATATTATAATTATATCTTAATTGCTTGCATCAATTGAAACTGTGACCTGTGGATGATGACAACCGTGGCCTTGTATATCAATTTAACATGTGGATAATGTGTGATTGTTCTTTAGTTTCCTAATCAATGGCTTTCTTTTCTTGTGCTTTTCTCTTGATAGGTAAGCTAACCTATGCGTGCTTTCATCCACGTGTGGGTCTTCCATTCCACTGTCTTGAGGTGAGATGCTATCAGTCATTACTTATTCTTGCCATAAGAATAGGGGTGTCTCCATGCATGGCTATTTTGGTGTCTTGGGGTTTTGGCTGAGACAGGTTGTGATAATTTATCTATTTTGGCCCCAACCATAATGGGTTTGAGGGGATTTTGATGGTAGTGTTTCGTTCTAGACGAAGTTGTTGGAAGTTTTTGTTTTTCATTTTTAGGATTTGGGGGTTGAGATGGTGAGTTGACATGGTTTGTAGAATTTTGCCAATCAATGACATTATTATATATATATATATATATATATGCACGAATCATGACTGATCAAGTTTTTAAGGTGGACCTTTCTTGTTCTTGACTGATCAAATCAATCATGGATCTACGTGCAAGGCTGTTAATGTGGGTTTTTTTTTCCCCAGAAAATTAGATTTCGGACCCGTAATGTTTAAATTTTTTGCCGCAAGAGCGTTGCAAAGTCAGATTTTGAGGAAGTTATAATCTTAACTCTAATAGCTGTTCTAAATTTAGATATAATTTTCTTAAAATCTTCCATAAGATCTGAAATGAATTTGTGGATGCTTTAATTGAGAACGTTGTCGATGGGAATGGAAAACTACCTTTGGGCTTTGTGAATGTTTCTGCTTCCGACAATGAGATGAAATGATCCATCTAACAGTATTTGAAATCGAAGTTTATGTGACTGAATTGTCACAGTCTTATCTGGGAATCACCCTCGATAACAAAACAAGATCCAATTCTTTACGTATAATTTCAAGCAATATCTTGGAGAAGAATTCGACTTTGAAAGATTCAAGCAAGAAATTCTTATAGGGGGAAGGAAATTAGAACTGTGAGCTCGGGAAATCAAGCGCAAGATTTTCTCTCTGCAAAACACTTTTTTTTATTAATGGTATAACGTAAAGCGAGATTAATTTTTACCATAATTTGCAATGAGTATGTCTTCAAAAAAATTATTTCCAATTTCCACAAAAAAAATTTTGACCCGTGTTTCGTTCGTTTTAAAAAAATGTCTTCAATTTTTTTTTTAAAAAAAACAAGTATCAATTTTAATATAAGGAGGTTGATCTAATGATTTTATCAAAAAGTCTTGATTCAATCAAGAGGGTTGGATTTAATGGAAGAGATTAATTTCTTACAACATAGTAAAACATGATTTGAATTTCTAATAAAAAAAATGCTCACATTTAGTATGGGATTATGCTTCAAACATGATTATATGCCTAGGATATATATATGAATAATAATAATAATAAAAGGTCCTATTCGTGTGACAGCGGGAAGGAAGCAAATTTTGAAGTTTTCCCCCCTTTTTTAAGCTCTTTATTCTAAAATATTTGTACTCAGTTTGAGGAAAAGCGCCAACCCATTGCAACATTGGAATTCAGATAAAGTTTCCAAATTGTTGTAATAAGTAGTAAAGAAAGGAAAGGAGTTTTTACTTTTTAGAACATAAAAAAGATCATAGAATAGTAGTTAAGATTTGACAAATCGAATCATAGACAAAATTTTGACAACATAATAATATGTATGTAAGTTCTATAAGTATTATTGTTATGTTATGAAAGATAATCATTTCCCTCATTTAATATTATTATTTTTCCTTACTCATTTTATGATTCTGTTCTAATTTCTATAATAATAATAACTTCCAATCAATTTGTTTGGCCTTTACAAAAAATGTGGAACACCAAACAAATGAAAATATCTGGCCAAAAAATAGAAACACATGAAAATAATGCGCAGGTATTACTGGGCTGGCCCATTCGCATAAAATCACAACATTTATTTTCGTCACAAGTGATAGGGATTCTAAATTTTCACCAGCAAGTCCAACAAAACAATCCTCAAACCTACCAGTCTTTCTCAATTAGTTTAAGTTCTAGAAATGTTTGTTTACCTAAAAAAAAAAAAGTTCCAGAAATGTTGATAGGATGGATTAATTTCAGTAAAAATCAAATAAATTTATTGAAAAAGATGTTTTTTCTAATTTTTTTTAATTTTATAATATTTAAACTTCTTCTTGCTATGGTGGCCTGAAATTTTATAATGTTTTAAAATAAAAATTTCAGTTAAGAGACTTATTTTTGCAGGCCGATAAATAAATAAATAATAAATTTTTACAAATTTAAAATTATATTTCTCCTTCAGAAAATGTTGTCCAAAAGCCCTTCTGTTTCGCTACAGACAGCGCTTGATCTGCATACATGGCTTCCAACGGTGCCTCTGTGGTCAGTCATACTCTCTCCCCCGCCCCCTCCTTGATTTGGTTGTGATATATATAGCTAGTCGTAAACTCGTAATGTTACAGAGAGCTGATGCGGATACAGAGAATAGCTTGCAGAAGATCAAGCGCCAGTTAGCTTCGAGTTCTGGCAAAAATTTGTTGCAGGGACCACTTCTCAAGCGATCTGAAACAGTAATTTGATTCTTTCTTCACCTAACCTCATGTTTCGTGGTATATGTTGCTGTTGAATATGATCCAATCAATTGCTTTATGGATATTGGACCGGAGAGTGATGTTTTATGATTATCCCGTCACTGAGTATCGATAGATTATAGCAATTGAGTAGCAATCAATCAACAATTCCAGCATTTTGTGGTCTTTTGATTCATTGAATAGTAAATGCTATTTTCTTTAACAGAGTGTCTGGACCTTTTCTGTTGGGTTGCAAGTATTTTCAGATATTGCTGAATTCTTTATCTTTGTATTGTTTGCTAGCTCATGTAAATCATTTTTGTGTTTATAGCTGAGAAAATGGAACGAGCGCTGGGTTATTTTGGATCCAACAACAGGGAGAATGGAATACAAGTAGCTTTATATGAATCATTCTTTCTCACTTTGTCTTTGTGTTGTGAGACTGTATAATTACTTAGCCTTTTCGTTGTTTTTCTTGCTCTAGGATAAGAAGAAATGAACCCACTATTAAGGGAACGATTGTGTTTGATGCTAATAGCACAATTACTGTATCACCTGTGAACTTCCAGTAAGGATGATGTTTACAACATCAATCTACTTGACAACTTGCTATTCAATGAAGTTTACTTTTAATACTTGTTGACATGTTGCTCACTTACTCCTGTAATTTGTGATTCAGCGGGCTGCCAAAGTATGATGGTTGCTGCTTTTGTATCCATTTTGTCAATTTTCATCGTTTTTGAGGTTTATAAGTAATAAATTGCTGAGAGTTGAGTGATAACTGCTCTACTTGTATACTTAACCATCTTCTTTAGATATCGGGACCCCACAGAAAAAGGATTATTTTCTTTGTGCGGAGACTCCTGGTGCAGCTAGAGCATGGGTGTCAACTTTACAGTACGTTACCCCCTTTCCTTCTCCCTCATTTCCTTTATCCCTTTGCACCAATTTTCATGGAATGTTATTTATCATTTTCAACTCATTCTGTTGTGAATTGCATTGATTAATGAGATGTGTCAATGTGCTGCTTGAGAATATTACTCAACTGCCTCTGTGAACATTGAATCCACTTATATAACTTTAGTTTAATTAAAGATTACATAGTCTACTAAGGTGGTATAAATCATTAAAAAAACTTCTATCAGCTTTATTGCTTGTGCATCCCAACCTGATTTTAATAGGCACAATTTACCCTATATACCATTGTCTATCAAATTGTGCATGCCAAAACTTCTGGCATTGATATTCAAATCAAATTAATAATGACATTAGATAATTTGTGGGAATAAGTAGCCCCACTTGAAAACTTATTGGGATTAATTACTACACGTTGGGATGACAAAAACTTGTTGAGATAAATTAGATAATCAGATTTCAGTGTGTGGTTGATGAAAATGTTGATTTGCACAACTGGATAGATGGTGGGGGTTAATTTGATCAATTAAAATGTTAAGGGGCACACTGCATCATGTTGAGTAAAATTGCAAGGAATTTTTTGGATTGTTTGTAAGTTGGGCCATGAAGGATAATGCCATATCTCTGTCATAGAACATAATAATTTTCAACACCAAATTTTCCTCCAGGAGTGGGATTGGGTTATAACTGAGTTCACTGTGCATATCAGGAGTGAGCCTTTTTGAGTTTCTTTTTTTGGGCACTTGGAAGTACAAAATTATGTGTCTGACTAAAGTATAAGATATTAAACTTTTATGTGCATTGAGGTGTTTTACAGTGTAGGAGTAAATTTGGGATGCAGAAAATTAGTTTTGTTGAGCCACGTGGAGGGATTTGGGGACCTATATGTCTTCTGTATTCAAAAAGAAAAAGGATGTGCTGACTGGATTTTTATGGGGGAAGTCTGTCCATGAGGGAGCCCTTTCTATGTCCTGGTTAATTGTATCAGTAAACCTCCATTGTTGATGCAGCATGTCTCATTTGTCATTAGTTGACTGGTATAAGCAGAGTATTTTATAATTTCGTATTAAGCCCCCGCCCACTGCTAGGAAACGGACGAATTTTCTTATTCTAAAACTGCTCGCAAGTTGCAGTGATATTTTACTTGACTTAAACTTGTTGAAGTTCTCATTAGGAGTTTAAGCTATGGAATAGGGGCTATCTCTTTTGGAGGGGAGAATCAGTTTCAATTCCCTCCCCAAAACCTTAACCCTTCGTTTGGATGAGGAGAAAAATAGGGAAGAAGGAAAATTAGGAAAGAAAACTCCAAAAAATGGTAAAAAAGAAAAATTATTATTTTCGAAAATTTTTCCTCCTAGTTTTCTCTCCTCCTTATTTTCTTCTCACTTTTACCTCCATTCAAACCAAGCCTAAAGAAAAAAAAATTGAAAGAAGATGTCCCAAAAATCAATATCATATGAGCGTTCTGTTTTTAATATATGTTTTTCTTGTCTTATATTTTATTAGGTGATCTTGCTTTCTATTATAATACATTAATTTATACTTTTCTAGTTCCATTTATAAGTTATTTTCAACATGTTTCACCAAAATTATGGAAAATCTTAAAATTCATTAACTATGTCTACAAATTTAACAAGTTTCCAACTTTATCCTTATTAAATATACACCATTTAATTGGAGGGTAAAAGGGAAAATTGTGATAAAAAATTAATGATGTGACTTATAAAGAAGACCAAAAAAATTCGTTTTTCTCTACCTTATAAAGAGAACCAAAGGGAGTATATTGTGTAGAGTGCCATTATTATGTATATTCTTGTCTAACTTATTGTAAATCGTAATTATGTGTCTCCTCTGACATTAGGGCAACCCAGCTGGTTCTAAAAGCCCATAAGGAGGCTGTTAATTCCTTGAGTGGAAATGGTTCTTCAAAACTAGGAGTTGTTGCAACAGCTATTGCTGCAGCTAACTCAACGGCCTTGGAATGCTCTAAAGAAATTGAAGCAGCAATGCAAATCTCTCTTCGAAATGCACTAGGAATGATAAATAAAACTACTGATGGTCCTATGGATGATTTGGCAATCATGAAGGTATAGTTGTTTTTTTTTTTTTAATTAGAAGAAAAATTCATGAAGGTGTAATTGAGTCCTCCTCCTCTCCTGCTTTTCCTCTGTTCTAACTCGTAATGGATGATTTATCATTCACGACCATACAGTGAAATCTTGGTTACTTCCTTCTGTTTGGTTGGATTGTTGCTGTTGCTTAACTTCAGATGTAATTAGCTTAGCCTATGTTTTCTTTTAGATCCTGCTCTCCTACACTCTATACGTCTAATAGTTCTAGAGTGGAATTGTGATTATTATGTTAGAATAAAATAATACTAATACCATACAGTTGAATTATTCCATGATAAGAAAAATTATAGAATTTTTTACTTATTAAAATAGTCTGAGATACAGCTCCGTATATTTGTGCCGCTCAGGAGGACTAGAATGGAAAATAAATCTAGTGCCAGAGATGTTCTGGAAGAATGGGGGATTGAGGATATAAACTAAGAGGAGTTGTTTTAATTGGACTGGATTATCTGCGTATGGATGTCATGTTCCCCATGTGTCTGTTGTTCTTTGTACCACTGGACTTGGTTTTCATGGTGTTACCCTGTGTACAGGAAACACTGCGAGTTAAGGATGAGGAACTGCAGAATTTGGCTCGAGACATTCGAGCACGTGATTCTACAATAAAAGTAATAGCAGAGAAACTATCGGAGACTGCTGAGGCAGCTGAGGCAGCAGCATCTGCAGCTCATACTATGGATGAGCACAGGAAAATTGCTTGTGTGGAAATTGAACGTTTGAAAAAAGAGTCAGAGATGCAACTTCAGATGTCCAAGCAGAAGGTACGCTATTATGGTGGACCTTAAGATTTCTCCGTTAGTTGATTGAATGGTGTGAACTCGAGCAATTTCAGTTACTATGGACAATAAACCCTCATCTTGTGTGTCCATTTTATCTTCAATACTTTTGGTAGCTGAAAGAGTTTGGAGAAAAGATTTTGGGCTTAAGCAAAGAAAGGGACCAGTTAAACAAACAGAGAGATGCTGCTATTCAGGAGGCAAGCATGTGGAGATCTGAGCTGGCAAAAGCTAGAGAACATGATGTGATCTTAGAAGCAGCTGTAATCAGAGCGGAAGAAAAGGTTAGGGTCGCAGAGGCAAATGCTGAAGCTAGGATTAAGGAGTCTTTGCAAAAAGAAGCAACTGCATTAAAAGAGAAGGAGGAGCTTCTTGCATATGTGAATGTATTAAAAGCACAACTTCAAAGGTTCAGCATCTTGTCCTCTTTCACTCTTGCATGAAATTTGCATTAACTAGATTCAGCGTCCTGCTTTTCTTTTCCAACTACGGGTCACCATTTCAGTTTGTCTGAGAGAGTAAATTTTTGATGATCCAAAAGACGATGGAAATTGTTTATCAGCACTGGAAAAATTAAAAGTGCAAGATGAGAGAAAACCCGGGCTGCTTTATCGCGTTCTGAGTTCAGTATCACTTGTGTATGTTTATCTGCTAGGAATGCATATATAATGAAAAATAAGTTCAGGTAGGTATTGTTGAGACCATTGCTATAAGATTCAACAAAAACTTTATATGTAAGTCATCGGTGAGGATTGAATTCTTGACTATGTCAAGGGCCATTTTGAGTCACAAATTTTAAACCATTAAAGCCAAGACTCGTGTGTAGTCTTGCTATAATATCAACAGCTGTAATTTATGTTAACAGACTAAGTTGATTTAACAAATAATTTCCTTGTTGGCAGACAACATATTAATGCAACTCAAGTTATTGAGAAGACTGAGTCTTGCTCAGATACCAAGCACGTTGACATGACAGAAGAGAATGTGGACAAAGCATGTTTAAGTGTTTCAAGGGCCATCCCTGTCCCTGTGCCTGCTGAGAGTGTAGTTCACATGGCGACAGATCAGGTGAACATTCGGCCTCTTGGAGACAGGGAATGGAGTGATATTCAGGCAACAGAGGCAAGGGTTGCTGATGTAAGGGAAGTAGCACTTGAAACAGAAAGAAGCAGCTTGGATATTCCTGTGGTTAGCCAACCGGGTACCACCAATCACAATGAACAAGGGGCGGACAATTCTAATCAGCCCTGATGATATCCATAAATATACGTATAAATTTTTTCACCTAGAAGGAATCTAGTATATTATTTAGTTGGATGTGAATGTATTCTTTTTGTTGATTTCATTTCCTCAGTGCCCCAATCAAATTGTGTTATGAATTATAACCTGCCACTAATCAAGGTACCATTTCTACAGCATTACCTGATATATATAACTGACTAGATGACCTATAAACTAAGTCAAGCAAAATTGTAGCAACTCAGAACAATCTGATCCCTTGAGATACATCTTAACTTCACTGAGCAGTTCTCTAGGGTTGTGGGATGATCAGTTAGATATTGGAAAAATGAGTTAAGTTCTTTAGGTGCTTTTGTACTTTTTTGACTGAAGAATTTGAAAGTAAACAACTAAACATCATGTGCTGTTGCGTAAGTAAAATTATGAACTTCAAAAGAATTTAGAAGTTAAATTTTGGTGTTATCATTATGTCAAAGGGAAAATCTTGAAATCTTCTTTATGCTACGTACTCAAGTGTTCCAAAAATTTAGTTATAATAGATCTATTTGTATTATTAGATGGAAGCCATGGAATGATGTCATCTAGTCACCATACCAAAGTCTATATTGGGTATTAGCAGTCTATATCCTGAGTCAGAATGCATTCAAGAGCATTCAAGAGAGACAAAATGGAGAAAAAGTGAATGTGTGTAAAGAGGGCATGTAAGTTACAGATAAAGTCATATTCTCATGCCCTATTGTCTCTAACCAAGTGATTGTAGAAGATCTAATTTAGGGTTTTTAACCTGAAAAAGTAGCTAAAACCCCAGAAAGCTGTATTCAAGACAAAACAACAAATCAAACAATGAAAATAATGTCAAAACATGTAATCTGTTTATACGGTACAATAATATCTCAGATCAAAGTTTCCAATTTTAACCCAAAGAAAAGTTGGGTATCGGAGGGTCAAAATGCTTTGAACATCAATTTAAATATAACTATATACAATCATAATAATAAACATTGGATGGATCATCCATAACTAACTGAACCATAGGTTGAAGCTCATCGCAGTTTCCATTGGCAAATATATTCTCTTCCATCACACCAGGGTCCCAAAAGCTAGGGTAAGTACTACTGATGGTGCAGCTTGAGCTAACTCATTCAGAAATAAGTGATTTCTTTCATGTTCAACCTCTTCAACGTTCCTCATAATCTGTTTTCTTTCATCATTTTGCTGAATGATCTGTGGGTTTTCAAAAGTGATGCATGAGTTTCCATTGATGTCATATCTTAAGTTGCCTGATTCAGGACTTGAATGAGCTAGGCTGGGTTTGATGGCTGCTTGTGTGTACTTTTTCTGAGATTTGATTCGTTTGAATATTTTGCATAGTGTCCACACTTCCTGCAAAATCCCATTTAACACAGAAATCGTTGCAGTTAGGCTCATTGGTAATGCTAATTAAGAGATAAATAAGCCAGGGAAGAAAATAGAGATGAGACGTTCTTTCCGAAATCTTATATTTTGCATTCATTTGTGTCTTCTAACGTCTGCATGAGTATTTTGAATTTGACCAAAAATGTCTAAATGCGGCAGAAGACTTAGCATATGAAATTTTGTTGTGCAGTCAGGAAATTGAGTTTGATGTCTGATACAATAAATAACAAGATGCAATCTTTTAAAAGTTAGGGGATGACAAACTGAAAAAATCAACAAGTCACGGTTTTTATGAGTTAAATCAGTGATCAAATTAATAACATAATAATTAAATAAAAAATAATATTTATATGCATATACATTAGTAAAACATTAAAGATACCAATAATATCATTTCAAGTTTAGAGCTGTTCAACCATATTAAGTTTTAATTTTCTCATTTTTCATATACACACACATATCTTATTTTTTTTTCTAAAGTAAATAGTTTTCAAGTTTCTCTTAGGTTTAATTCATATAATACTAATAAACAAATCATACCTTCAAGATTTTACTATAATAATTCAGCAAAAAGTTGACATTAATATTTTTAAATCGAATAAAAAATTTATTACTAAAATGAGAATAAAAACACAATTTAAAACGTTCTAATCATTTTAATTTTTGAGTTAACTTTGATTCCATTTAAACAATTTGCTTCAAAATAGTCAAATTCTCAAAATAAGTTAATGAGTCAAATTGAATCACTTTTACATTTGAGTGGTGATTTGACTATTTAAGTTAGTCTGGGTCTTAAAATACTAATAAAATGTCTAATCTATGATGTAGATACACATAATTAAAAATATTTTCTTGCATATTGCATTGAATCTTGGAATTGAGCACGGTTTATAATTTATGGATATATAATATAACATGCTATAACTTTTATAATGATATATTGATATTGATTTTATGATCTAATATCACATCATTAACATTTTGTTAAAAATGACATTTTTAATAATTACATCAAAGCTAATAGTGACATGTAATTGTTTTTATGTATGTGTGTCTTGAATTTGATGTCACAATCTTAGAGGAAAATTTCCAACGCAATTTAAGGGAAACTATTTTCACAACTAATAGTTGACTTGGCTGCACACAGTCGACATTGGGGACCAAAAAAGAAATATCAAACGCAATTAATTTAACCATGAAAAAAACCACAGTGAAGACCCCATGACAAGACGCAGATATTTTGATTGAGTTAATGCAGTTGCAAAAGATCTAGTGACCATAACCAAGAAGACGAAATATCTGTGTTGTGGTTTATTGATGATACTCAAATTAAAAGTCAATTCAATAAGGTTTATTTCCGGTCAATCATGGGAATTTTAATTTATGTTAATTATATTGAGTTTTGGGACCACTATATGCATAGACAAATTCAACGTTATAATTTCTTACCGTTCTTCTTGATACGGCCAACTCTATGTTAATTATATACCATCGTCGCGTATATTTTTTAAAAATATATTTGCATGTAATACTTTGCGATTATAAGGTACAAAATGAATGAAATGGAAAATAAAATCTTAAAAATAATTTTGAGAATAAAAAATTTCTCATACTTTGTAATTTGTTAAAAATAAAAATAATACTGTCAGATAATTACGGTACAAGTATAATTAATTCATACACAAATGATGGAAAAGAAATTTTATTTTCCGTATTCACCAAATCATAGGACTATGCATAAACTTTTTTTTAAAAAAAAAAAAAAAAGCTACAAGACATTAAAATTTACAATAACTTATTAGGGATTAAATTTCCTAAACTACCTAGATCTTTAAAAAGGTGATATTTAATTACAAAATTTCTAAAACCTGATAATTATAAACCCCATAAAATCACATAAAATAATCATAAATGTTCAAAACACGAAGTAGCAGCAAGAGCATAGAAGACTCACAGCATCATGAAGATGGTGATCATCAGCAGTAACAGAAGCAGGTTGTGAAATATTTTTGGCGTTGTTATTGTTAGGAGGAGGAAGACGAAACTCATGCATCATCCATTCAGTTTTTCTGGAGGCTTTACCAGCAGTTCCTTGGTAGTACACTAATGACTTCTTGAGGCCAATTACGACGCCGTTTCCATCTCCATCTCCATAGATAGGTTTATCAATGCCTGTAGCTTTCCAGAAACCAGACCCACTCACTGTCACTCTGTTGGGCCTCTTGCTGTTTCTGTACTTTCTCCCTCTTCTGCAAAAGAAGTATCCTTCTCTTTCTCCGTCCACCCCATTGCTCTCTTTAATTTCCATTCATATATATCTCATCAGAAACACGCATCAAACACAGACTTGTATTGCATGTATGCATAAGAATATATGTGCTTTAGATCATTGCATGTACAATGAATATAAATGTTTCAGTTTGAGATCCTTGAAGCACACACACACGTGTGTGTGTGTGTGTGTGTGAGATTCAGAAGCAGGAAGAGCCTAATTATATATACATGCGGAATAAATATATGTTTTAGTGTTGAAGACAAGAAGAAAGGAAGAAGAAATCATACTTGGAAGATCCCAAGGATGGTATTTGTAGATGTCAATCTGTTTGATGAGTTCGATTCGGAGAGGCTTCTTCTGCACTTTTCTCAGCAGATAAAACCCTACAAGCTCTTCATCTGTAGGGTGGAATCTAAACCCAGGAGCCATCACTTCTTCTTCTTCCTCAATCTTGGCCATGATCACTTCCATCTCTGTGTCCCTCCTCTCTAGCTAGATCTCTCTCATGTCCTTCACAGTTATGAACCATGTATATGTGAATATATATTTATATATATGGTTGAGAAAAATTAAGGGAAAATCGCACCGAAGGATCACTTGAGCAATTTAATTACAAAAAAGGGCTGAAATATTTTGAATTCACTTTACAATCCTTGATGTGACATTCGACAAAGATATTGAAGAAAAAAGGCAAAAATAAACTTGCACTACCATGTTTATTAAATTGTTATTGTTACTTGTCATTTTTTAGATGCATACACTTATCAAACAATGTCCTCAATTGTCATTTTCTACTACCATATATTCATACTTGTTGGAACATTACACTTATTATTTCCAATACTCGTGTTTATTAAAACGTTGTAGTTATTTATCATTTTCATATGCGCATGCTTGTGAAAGCAATACCCTCACATGATATTTTCTACCACCATATTCTTGTTAGGATGTTATATTTGTCATTTTTTTAACATCATGCTTATTAAAACATATATGATCACTTGTCATTTTTTATATATATGTTTGTCAAAATAATACACTTACATGTTATTTTTTATTAGTATGCTTGTTATACTTGATATTTTTCACAATTATGCTTGTCATACAAATGCTTGTGGTGACAATGTTTCCATCACCTGAAATTTAGAAGGGTTATTTTCATCATTTTCATTTCAATCTAATTTTTTTTGATGTGACAGGGACTTTGGAGCAAATTTAGAATATTTTGTCTTTTCATAATTAAGGTATTTCCGGGGTTCTTGAATGCAATTTGTCCAAAACTTAAAGTCTCTCCATTTTAGAACTTTCCAGTAATTTGTTAGTAATAATATTTTTTTGGGTATTTTTCTATTTTATGTGTTGTGATTTTCCTGGCATCATGGTGCGTAATTAAATTGAATATTGGCAGACCAGGACTTCTATTTGTCAAGTCAATCATCTCGTTTATGACATTTCTTGGGAAACCAAGTTGGTTTCTAGGCTAATAAATTTTTGATATAGGTGGATCCATTGGCATTTTTCCGTGTGGAATCATCCCGGGAAATTTCTTGCTCAATTTTTAATAAATATCTTCTATTTAATTCTTAACACAAAATATGTCTTTTGCTTAGGTTATGGGAAGAAATTTTTCCGAATAATTTTCCATTTCAGTTGCCAAATAACAATAGAATCATGATAAATATTAAGTATATTATATGTTGGATGTGAAAGGGATCGAACTGGAAAAGATGACCTCAAGAATGGATGATCCTTTTTCAACCCCAACAAAAAAAGAAAAAAAACTAAACTCTTAAATTATTTATTTATTTTCAAATACCTCCTACGTCATAATTGAGGTCGTAAGCACATCCCTTAGATTTCTTATGAACATACATAATCCTGATTGGGTCAATAAAATTGTTCAATCTTTCTTAACTTTCATGCCTCCCCGCAGAAGACAAGTCCTCAAAATTAAGGGAGCACATTATTTGTCTTTTTTTTTTTGAAATAATTTGTTCACTATTATTGTTATTACAGCTACTACTATTATTATTACTGTAATAGATAATGCCTTGACAATTAATTTCGACAATATTTTCATATCTGAAGAGCTAGAATTATATCAGATTATTGCTCACATATTCAATTTATCTTCAAATTTGATAGTCATATATGTTTGTGGTGCTACTACAAAGTTCAGTGAGTAATTTGTTGTTCTCTTAACTTTTGCAAATGATGCAATCTAACCATGACCGTTAAAAAAATTAATTTTAATTGTTAGTTAATTAGTTAAAAATTTTAAAAATTAATGAAAAGGACAAAAAAATTACAAACAAGAACTTAAAAAGTAAAAAAAAAATCCTTTTTTATTATTTTATAATTAACTAACTGTCAAAATTAAATTTTATTAATGGTAGGATAAGATTACACTGTTTTTAAAAATTAAGAGAATAATTTATATAATAAAAAAAATTCAAGTATGGTACTATTCTTCTCATTTATCCAATATAATGGTGCCAAGCTAGGTGGGATAAATATTTCAACTCGTTCAATAATGCTAAAAAGATGGATTTCTAAAATATAGTAATGTTCTATCGGCAATATACATACATACATACATACATACATATATATATATATATATATATAGAGGAAGGTTCCGTGCACGTTCGAATATTAATTGATGACGAAATTAAACAATTAAAACAGCATGTTGCGCATTTCAAGGCCGTACCTGATCTGTCCTTGAAAGTACAATTTTCTTCGCCGAAAAACCGACAACGTCGGCTTAGAAAAATAAGAGCCGCGTGAACTTGTTAAAAACACACGGTTGCTTGATATATTTTTCCCAAAGTTCATACCTGCAGGGAGGCCTCAAGATCAAGCCATGCTTCAATTGAATTTTCATTTGATAGAGTTACCAAAAATTCGTCAAATCCTGAATTTAATTTTTTTAAATAAAGTTACCAAAAATAAAATATCATAATTTACTTGATAGAAGAATCCAACTTGGCCAACACAACAGGAAAAAAAAAAAAAAATCCTCTCTTGGCATTTCTGAGTTTTTCTTTTCTTCCATCCCAAGGGATATCCTTTTTGTTTATTACAGAGTTGTAGAATTTTTGTTGGGTTAATCGGTAAATTTGTCCAAAAATTTTTCACCGGGTGCCCTTGATATTTTGAATTGTTAATTGATGCAATATTACTCTAAAAGTTTCAAAAATGATAAACTGTCTACCTATAATAATATTTTAACAACATCGACTGCCAGTTGAAAATTTATGACTAAAGTTAAAGAACAATTTGTCTCTAAATTTTTTTTTAAAGAGTAATTAGTATCTTAAACTTTTTATTAGTGCAATGTTTTTTGGATTATCAATTTTTAAATTGAAAGAAAAATCTAATAACCCATAAGCAAGTCTAGACAGGTATTCATGAACAAGATCTTGTGTGTAACATATAGATCAGCTTGAATTTTGACTTAGAAACATTTAGGATAATTCAATGCAAAAATCTTTGTCTGATTTTGGATTATCACATCTTATTGGATCTTTCTTTTAATTTAAAAGTTGATAACTTAAAAATGTTATGACAATCAAAAATTTGTGATACTAATTGTTCATTTAGACAAACTTTCAAGGTAAAATTATGCTTTAACCATCAAAATAATGGTCAAAATTGGTCTACATTATTATCGGAAGACACTGCCCATAATTTTTTTAACTTTTATGGTAATACTGCACCAACTAAAAGTTAATGATACTATATGCACACGGCAAGAAACTTCTATAGCAAATTTATCCTTTAATTCTTTTTTTTTTATTTTTAATGTTGAATATTTTTTTAAATGTATATGACATATTTTGTTTTCTTTGTTTTTATTTTTATTTTTGGGTTTACGTGGTTAGAAAAGAGCAGCCAATAGAATCAATAAAAGAGAGAGGTCATTAAATAAACTGTTGTGTTGTTGTGTAGTTCATGAACTTTCTTTGTAGCTTCCACCATTTAATGTGGAATTTCATTTTCCACATTTCCATCTTTCGTACCAGTTGGGGTTAGAGTAGGCATAGTTGAAAATTCAATTCGTAATCTAAAGCCTTCAATGATATTCCTTGATATTTGTTCATTGTCAGTCACTATTTGGGAAATTTAATCTGGGAAAATTGGTATAAAGGACAAAAAAAAAAGGTTTATTTGGCAGAAACCACCAAAGGAGACGGAGTCTTTGAAATTGAAGGGGCATTGCAGAATTTCACACCACATATAAATTTCTAAAACTTATTTGAAATTCCTTTCAGGTTTTTTTAATAATAGTACTCTCTTCATTTAAAAATATAAGATATTTTTTAAAAAGTTAAATGTTAAAAAATGTAAGGCATTTTTAGTTTTTTGAAGTGTAATCATTGTCTTTTTTTAAAATTATCCTTAATAATTACTTTATATTTATTGTAGGATATTTAATAGAAGTAAATATGAAAATATATAGTTAGTTAAAAAGTAAGTAACTACTTTATTAAGGATAAAATTTGATTAAAAATACCTTATATTTTTCAACAGAGGGGGTATATTACAATCCACTTATCTTTCTTATTAAATAAGCTTTCCTTTTTATCATTTATACCAATTTTCCCATTCGATATACTATGCCAATCTTGAAATTGCAGGCTAAGATGGTGTTAATAATGCAAAAAAAAAAAAAAAGTTTTCGACTGCCATACCAATAATTTCTTGAATTTTATTCTTCAATGCTAATTTTGTGTTTTCCTCCTCATATATTTTCGAATTTAGATTCGATGATTGTACTTAATACATGTATTGAATGTCTATATTATCTGAACCATTAAAATTCAGATCAATAATTATAAATTTATACTTCACTTAATATTAACAAATGAGTAAACTTATTTGAATTGTTGATTTATATTTTAATAGTTTAAATGGTACAGGCACTCAATATCTGTATTAAATATAGTCATTGAATCCAATAATAGTCCATTATATCCTTTTCTTGCCATAGAGAAATTTTGAAGTGCATTATTTTCTTCTTTTTCCCTTGCAGTTTTGTATCCCTACTTAATAACCTTTGTAAGTATAAGGATCCCAAGTCAATTTGTAGTTACAAATTGAATGAAAGGTTAGAAAATTCATGAGAAAATCTAAGTAAACTTGTTAATTTGATAACATTTTACTTGCCAACTTGCTAAACAAAATTTGTTAAATTTAATTTTTTTTTTGGCCAAAACAAGGTTTAATATTCAAAATTTATTTACAAGGTTTAATATTCAAACCTGGAAAATTGTTTTTAGGATGCAAAAATTTATAATGTTTGGTAGGTAAAAAAGTATTTAAAAAAATAAAAAATACACTAATATTATTTTTTTTCTTGTTACGTCACTCATTTCTTTTTTAAAAAATATTTGTAGGCGGGTCAAAGATGCTATAAAAAATACCGTTTCCTAAACGGGCTTAAAGTCTTGATCTTCCCTTTATTTATTTCTTTGAGCAATAAAATTATTTATCATACTTTTTATAGTGCTAA